CAATCAGCCAATGAAGATACTCAACATCATTAGTCATTAGGGAAATACAAGTTAAAAACATAATTATACTGAAAGTAAAATGACTGACAAACATCATGTGTCAATAAGGATGTGGAGAAACTGGAAAACTCACGCATTGCTAATGGGAGTGTAAAATGACGTAGACACTTTGGGGAAAGGTCTGACAGTTGCTTAAAAAGTTAAAGAAACACATGGCTCGGCAATGTCACTCCTGGGTATTTGTCCAAGAGGAATGAAAATATATGTCCACACGAAGATTTGTACATGAAAGTTCAAAGCAGCTTTATTCATAATAGCCAAAATATGGAAACAACCCAAATGTTACTCAACAGAGGACTAGATAAATTTTAGTATAGTCATACAATGAAATAAAAGGCACTAAGTAGGAACAAATTGCTGATACACAGAAAAAAACATACATGAACCTCACAGATATGTTAAGCGAAAGATGCTAGACACAAGAGGGCACATTGTTCTATTGTGTTAGAAATCAAATCAATGGTTGTCCGAGGACAGAGGTGGCAGAAATGTTCTATATATTGATTGTGCTGGTGATTACACAGGTGAGGCATTTGTCAAAACTCACTGAACTCTACATATAAAATCTGTACATTTTTATTATAGGTACGTTAGATCTCAATCGAGTTGACTTAGGGGGGAAAAAATCCTAGATAGGAAACTAATTACTAACAATCCAAATGTTTACCAATAGGAGACTGTTTAAATAAATTATGATCCATAAAACAAATTCCATGAAGAAGAAAGAAGTGTTCCAGGTATGGATATGGAAAGACTCCTGAGATACAGAGTTAAGTGAAAAAAGCAAGGCACAGATCAGTGAGTACAGTATGCTACCTTTTAGGTAAAAAAGAGTGGGAGGGACTATATTCACGTTTGCTTGTATATGCAAAATAAAACTCTGGAAGGATACACAAACAAGAGTAGTTAACTTTAGGGGGCGGTAGAATTGGGCAGATGGGAAGAAGGCTTTTCACAGTATACCCATATGACCTATTCAAAAAATGAAAAAATTACCTGGGTTCCAGAAAAAAAGGTACCTGTTCTAACTTCCCTACATCACATTCCCAGTCCTTTCATATTATATCTGAAATGTGAAAGAAGGTGGCTGTAAGACAGATCTAATTCCATACTCTGCAGCCATGAAAAAAACTGAGGAAAATCCTAACGTAATGGGCATAGGCTATAGGGTCAGATTGCCTGAGTTCAAACCCCACCTTGTACCACATAACTTCATGACTTTGTGAAAGTTACTTCTCTGCTCCTCAGTCTTCTCATCTCTAAAACGGGTTGTTGAGAGGGTTAAAAGAGAAATCACATGTAAAGCACTTAGAATAATAAGCATCCAATAAAACTATTATTTCCATTAAACAAATCAATTAATAGATACTATAATTTAATTAAGGAATACTATGATTCTCTTTCTGTACATATTTGTATATACTGGTATATACAGGGAAGATGTAAAAGGATTCAAACAGATTCCTGAGATTGAAAGAGTTTTACTTTCTTCCCTTCTGTATTGCTTTTCTCTCCAACCTATTCTCAACTCCTCAGCAAAATAATCCACTTGAAAAATAAATTGCTTCAATGTCACCCCCATCTTAAAAGACTTCAGTGGCTTTCCATTACACTTAGAGTCAAATCCATACTCTCCACCCAGCCTTGCCTGTCTGGGCTCCCACCAAGCCCTCTGGCCATTCTTGTCCTTCATTCGCTACACTACAGCTACAGCTGCTTTCAGTCCCACTAATGTGCAAAATTCTTGCTTCACTCTGCAAACGCTCTTGGAACGTTCCTTTCTCTAGTCTTCCCAAAGCTAGTTTCTTCTCATTAGCTCAATTAAAAATCATCTTCTCACAGAAGCTTTCCCAGATCATTCTTACTAACGGAGATCTGCCCCCACCCCCGTTTTTCTTTCTCAACTCCTTGTTTGTTTCCTTCAGAGAAAGCACCATCATGTAACATTTGTCAGGTTTTCTTTTGTTTTGTCTCTTCTAGAAGGGTAGCTTCAAGAGGGCAGGACCATGTTTATTTTTATACACCACCAGGGCCTAGCACTACAGCACCTGATAGAGTCAGCACTTAACGAATACTTGTTGAATGAATAAAATGCTATCCCATCTGTGAGACAGGTCCTAAAGTAATATTTCCACTTACGTCAACAGTCACTAAAAAATACACAGAGAGTCTTAAAACATCACAATGTGTTAAGTTACTCTTTTCAGAAATGGTTATTTATACGTAAGACAATGGGCTTCCAAACTTTTCTCATTTGTGATACACAGTAATAAGAATATTAATATAAACAAATATTAATGGAAATGAAAACCAATATTAATTCACAAAATCATACTTACTCTTGCTGAGAGAGATGCACTTTGATATTTTCTAGTCAATGGCATAACATATTGTAACCATTTTTATATGATTTTTGTAAACTAGTAAGTAGTGGAAAGACAATGATGTGTACTATTGCAAGGTTTTGGTTTTTCATTTATGATTTCAATAAATTAAACATATCGCTGATTCAAAAATGCAAAATTAACCTGTTAGGGGAAAGATAATTAAATTATATTACCAATTCTAAATTATCACATTCAAACTCCAGAATAACACTCTAACCATATTCATTAATTAAAAAATAAAAGCAACCTATAGATATAGGATATTCAGATTAGGAACTCCTTTTTCTTTTTTTGTAAGGAAGATTGGCCCTGAGCTGACATCTGTTGGCAACCTTCCTCTTTTTGCTTGAGGAAGACTGTCCCTGGGCTAACACGTGTGCTAATCTTCCTCTATTTTGTATGTGGGACGCCGACACAGCATTGCTTGATGAGCGGTGTGTAGGTCCGTGCCCAGGATCCGAACCTGCGAACCCTGGGTCGCCAAAGCGGAGCATGCGAACTTAACCACTACACCACTGGGCCAGGCCCTAGGAACCACTTTCTAAGGAGGAGCTCCAAAGTGATTTCAGATTGCAAGGAGAATGATGAAAACCAATGTAAGTCTTCCCCATCTCATCTAATTAGCAACTCTATTCTTCCAGACCTGCAGGCCAAAAACCTTGGTGTCCTCCTGACTCTTTTTCTCTCGCTCCTCAAATCCAACGCATCATTAAATTCTATTTGCTGCACCATCACAACACATTCAAAATCTGAGCCTTCTCACTATCCCCACTACCACCACCCTGGTCCAAGCCACCATCTCTTGCCTGAATTACTACAACAGCCTCCTAACTGAGCTCCTCAATTCTGCTCTTCCCCTCCTTCAGTTGCTTCTCAACAGTGCAGTCAGAATGACACTATTAAACCATTAAGTCACATCATGTCACTTCTCTGCTCCAGTGTGGTTTTTCATCTCAGAACAAAAGTCAAAACCCTTCCTAAAACCTGCAAAGCTGTACTTGACCTGCCCTCCCCCGATCATGCTGAGCTCATCTACTACTATCCAGCCACTATGGTCTCCTCACTGTTCCTCAAACACATCAGAGGTACTCCCACCTCAAGGCCTTTGAACTTGTTCCCTCTGCCAGGATTGCTCTTCCTTAACTTCCTTCTGGCCTTTACTCTAGTCCTCTTCTTAGTAAAGCCATCTCTGGCCATCATACGTAAAATTTCAACCCCTCACCCCATACACATCCACAGTCCTCTTCTCTGCTTTATTTTTCTTCTTAGCAGTTACCACTACTTAACATAACATACATTTTAGTTATTTACTCTGCTTATTGTCTGCTTCCCATAGATTGTAACCTCCATGAGGACAGAAATGTTTAACTATCCACTGCTGTATCCTCAGCACCTAGAACAGTATCTGGCACACAGCAGACACTTGATAAATATTTTAATGAGTGAGTGAATGAATAGGCTTGGAATGAACCAGAAAACAAGAACAGAGACTACAGAACAGGTAAGTAAGAATGGCTAACTGCAGGTAAAGATGTGCAGCTCAAGGTTCAAGGGCAGCCTGAGCAGGCACGCATGAGCTGTCTCTGGCTCCATCAGCATGTGGTGAACCAGGTGGGCAACCACTACTCAAGATTGAATTAATGTCCACTACAAGCACTGAGTGTTCCTTCTAAGTTAACTATCTACTCTGAACCAATCAAGAAGAAATCTGGGGGCCCACCCGTGGCTTAGCAGTTAAGCGCATGCTCCGCTACTGGCAGCCCGAGGTTTGGATCCCAGGTGTGACCAACGCACTGCTTCTCCAGCCATGCTGAGGCAGCATCCCACATACGGCAACTAGAAGGATGTGCAACTATGACATACAACTATCTACTGGGGCTTTGGGGAAAAAAAAGGAGGAGGATTGGCAATAGATG